GGATGTGAGCGCGGCCGAGCGGCCTCGGGCGCAATCGGTGCGATAAAGTGAAGTTGTGATGAAACTCCTGTCAGGAGAAAGGAGCCCTACTAGAGGCGGACCTTCGGCAACAAGGGTCGTTCGATTTCTGCCGTCGATATTTCGAGATCTCTCTATCTTTCCCTTTTTTGTGTGCCGCTTCGAGCGATTGAACGCCATGCAACTAGAATTACCTCGTTGCAACTAGAATTACCTCGTTGTTTGCTTTACTCGACACGCTCGGCGGGTAGCAACAAATCGCCGTGTGTTGACAACGCCGCCGGCGAGGTGCCCGGCCGAGCGCCTGCCTGCCACGCGCCCGGCGGCGCGCACGCCAACCGCCGCCGACCGGCTCCCATGGCGAGCTGCAGAGGGAAGGCCCATGCCCGTGCAGCCCATGACGACGGTCCCACAGAGCTTTTGGCGAAAATGGCGCTGTTAGGCCCCACCATAAAAATAAAACAAAGTAATCTCGCGATACTTCACATAAAGTCGAGACGCGTTTACCCCGTTCAGCAGCATAGCAGTGCAATGTGTGCACTACACCTCCTGCTCCCCTCCCCTCTTTTCCCGCGCACTCACTCCATCTCTCAAACGGCTGTAAAAATAAAACGACGCGCGCGCGCGCGTGTTTAAAAAAGAAACGGGTGGGCCGTCGCAAATGAATTGTGACGATTAGCAGCAGTCTGGCACGCGCTCCCTCCCGCATAGTGAGCGGCGGCGGCGGCGGCACGGGCGTTGGTTAAGTTGGCAGCGCCGTATCCCCGCGGATCGCGCGCAAGACGAGCACCAGGGCCGGCAACTTATGTGGGGCGGCCACACCCCTTAAGGGGTCCCCAGCAGAGCGGCTTCCTTGTCATCAGGGCGGGAACTCTACCCAAACTACTGTTACATTTTTAAAAACTATAATTAAACTGGAATTAAATTGTAGCAGCCTATAGATTAACTCTACTCCAACGACTGTAGTTACTTATAGAGAAAACTATAATTTAACTGCAGAAAAAGTATCAGTTATTTCGGACAGCTGTAGCTTTGTGTAGTTTAACAGGTGTGCCTTCCACCTCAGCTCGCTTACTAGATGTAACAGGCGATCCTCCTAACAGAAAGTGAAGAGGGTGCAATCTCAACGGGAAGAGTTTCAGCATGAAATACGATGAAATTAAACTACTGATACCGCATGAGGTGAGTCTCACGCCCGCGGTCATTAGAGCAAGTAGGTGAAGGGGGGTAGTATGAAGTCGGGGGCGAAGCGGGGAGGGGGTGGGCTGGGGGTAAGCAGGCGGGGCGGGGCCGGGAACGGAGCAGCCACTCCGCCCCCCATTCAGGGCACGCAAAGTTTAACATTTTTTGGGGTGACTTCTGGTGTCCAAATATCGCAAAAGGCTTGCCTCAAAGAATTCATGAGCATATTGAATTAAATTTAAAATTCTTTTCTTTTCTGTTACCGGGCGCTCCGCAGATGGGGCTTTGTTCGCCGGACGCGTCGAGATCGTTTTGTACACCAGCCCTTTGACGAGCCATGAACACAAAGCTAATTCCCCCTAAAAATGTGAAGCTCGAATGCTCTCTTTCCATATCCGCCACAGCGAGCGAGGTCCTCTCCCTGCTCGCGAGGCGCCGCCGCCCGACCCCGCGCGGCGCTGCGCCCCCAGGAGTCACTGACAGGCAGGCCGGGGCGGGAGGAGCGCCACCGGGCCGCCGCGGTGACGGGCTAATCCCAGTTGGCGCCGGGCCACGCCTGAACTTGAATAGTAGCAGGGGGCTTGGCCGGCTGCTCTGCTATGAGTGACTGGCCGTGCTGCTGCTGCTGCTGCCGTCCGTGGGTACAGCATGCACCTTGCACAACGGCGGCAACAGCTGGTGGGGTTCGGAGGGGCGGGGCGCCGGGACACAGCCGGGCCCCCATCCCCCACGAGCCCCCGCGGGGGCCCGCCCTCCCGGCCTGGACCATGTAAACTACTTGCAGGTATAAAACGCTGAGCGGCCGAAGCACGTGCCACAGAGTCACAGTTACAATCACGGCGGACACACCTGCTCCAGCACAGCCCCGCACAGCAGCCATGGCCGCCTTCAAAGTAAGTAGCACATTCACAAATTTGTCCTGTCACTTAGCCCCCAAAGCAGCCACCCTGTAGCAGCGTGATCTTTCATCGCCAACAGGTCCTCGTCGTCCTGAGCGCCGTAGTCGGCTCGTCGCTGGCCTTCCCCGGCGGCCACAGCCTGGCCGAGTCCTACGCCAGCGTCAACCTCCTCAACTCGCTCGGCCACGGCGGCGGGCTCGAGCTCGGCGGCCACGGCGGCGGACTCGAGCTCGGCGGCCACGGCGGCGGACTTGAGCTCGGCGGACACGGCGGGATCGAACTCGGCGGCCACGGTGGCCACGAGGAGGAGCACATCATCCTGGTGAGTCATCCTCACTGCGCCTCGGACACGGGCCGAGATGCTCATTCGTTTACCACGCCTACAATTCCTAAAGTCGAACTTGATCACAAATTTAACTCACCTCTCATGAGAATTGTTGTCTTCGTGCTCTTAACCACCCTGTCTCTCCCGAAGGCCCATCCGAAGTACGAGTTCAAGTACGGCGTCGAGGACTCCCACACCGGCGACTACAAGGACCAGAAGGAAGAGCGCGACGGCGACGTGGTGAAGGGCGAGTACTCGCTGCTGCAGCCCGACGGCAGGAAGCGCATCGTGCACTACACGGCCAGCAAGCACGGCGGCTTCAACGCCATCGTCTCCTACAGCGGCCACGCCATCCACCCCGAGGTCCACGGACACCCCGACATCCACGGCCACGGCCAGTAACTCCATGGCGAAGACAACGTCGCCGACTAAAGACTGCACCTCATCGTGATATCCATCTGTACATACTTCATTGTAATAATAATAAAGCATCTCATTTGTCTGGTAATTGTAACTTATTTATTAGTTAGGATCTCATTTCTTGTTTTCTTAAAATAGGATATCACTTGGGCCAATTCCTCCATTTCCCGCTTCTTAGATTGAATTTCCATTTTCAACTTTTGAATGACGCGATTATTCTCTTCAATTTCCAAATTCAACACTTCAAATTGCAAAGAATCCTGTAACAGAAGGTGCGGATTTCAAACAACAGTGCAATGACAAGACATAGTGCTACTATAACAAATTATTGCATAGGAAAAAGAAACTGACCATATTCTCAAGAGCTGAAGAGGGACTGTTGTTCTGCGTCGACATTTCGATTCTTTAAATATACGGTAATCACCCCTGCAAACAAATTAAACAGGATAATAACAGTGTGCAGTTATAACCTCAACGGTATTGGTCACATCGTATTGAGCCTGGCAGGTACGTTACCGATCACAAAAATCAGCATAATTTGAGTGAAAAGAACAATTCAATGTATCCAAAGACTAGGCGACCAGACGCAAAAAAGTTGTTCATAAATAACGAAAGAATACTTACAAATGGATGCGCCTGTGGGCCGGCCGCCTGTCTTGAGTACGATTTCTTCTTTCTTCAGCTTTGAGGTGAGAGCAACAGCGTAAATGCAGCGTTGGTTAAAATCGACTAAGGTCTCTGAATGTTAAAAATTAACTCTAGAATTAATTCGCATTCCGACCTCACACTGAACAAAAGTATAGATACGGCAGAGAATAACAGACTAAAAACCGTTGTTTTCACTTGGCATATTGTGTCTTTGGTGATGGTGGTATGAGAAAATCCACTCACCGGCGGTGAGCACCGCACCGCCAACAGAGGAGTGGAGGTGGAAAGTATGGCAAACTTGGCGAACGCGCAATTGTTGCGCTTAACGAAGTCTCTCGTCAGGAAGAGTGCAGTACTTGCAGCAACTTTTCAGACAATTTTAAACAAGTTTTAACCGGTGCTAAAATTTTATATATTTAATTAAAGTTGATTCGCATCTCATTCTGACACATTTGAAATATGTGTGCAAATTTAAAATAGTTTGACTTTGGACAAGTGAGGCAGACGACGAGGCAGGCTCCTAACCTCTTTCGTCCAGATCTAACGTCGTTTAACAGAATACAGACCAATGTCGTTCATTTTCCTTCACTACAATAACCCAATTATCGCAGCAGAATCGCTTGAATATGCAGAGATAGAACATCATGTGTCCAAAAGTTAAATACAATAAATATAAAATAACAACATGGGTAGCGCCGTCAGTGTCTGTATGAAAAATTTCGAGGTTAACGTCGGCGCCATTTCGACTTTGAATAAAATATCAACTTTTAACTCTAAATATCTCTTTGAGATGAACGGCAAGGTGGTGTTATCACTGCAGCATTGCATTCTTCATTAAATAATGTTTCGATTTCAACCGGTTTATGGTGAAAGTCACATTTCTTTCTTAATTAACTTTCGAATTAACCGTGACCAAGGCACTCTCTCCCATAAGACCCCGGGTAAAATCGGAGGTATTTCAATCGACGAAATCTTTCTTATAGTATCGGTAACACCAGAATAATTTGTAACCAATCGGTTTGGAATTTTTCAAAGTACCTCGGGTTTTTGTTTCCCTTCTGTGACACATTTAATTTTACCACGCTCGTACTACCTTAACGAAGTCTCTCGTCAGGAAGAGTGCAGTACTTTTGGCGCATGCACCAAGAGACTTTAATGCACGTGAGAGGCAAATATTGTGGTTGTATCGGCCACGTCACGGCTATGTCAGTCGGCAGGAATGCTATTTTTCTCTTATTTTGTGTACTCTGCTTCTCCAAGACTTCTGAATAAAATGCAAATAATGCAGAAAATGAAGTGTTTATTGTCTGACTGTTGCACAGTCTAAAAAAAATACGTTAGTAGAACATACTCGCTGGGCACAATGTGTAAATATGGGGGCAAATCGGAATAAAAAAAAACATTAGGTGTCAAAAGCGCACTCGGAAGCCGTACGGGGGGTACGCGATGATTTTAGGTTCCACGACCTTGCAGTAGGCGACGGCGGGGGCGTCGTAGGAGGCGTCAGCATTTGTGCAAGTGGAGAAGGTGGCGACGGCAGGTCTGGTATAGGCGGCGTAGGAAGTAATAACGGGCGCTGCGTATGTAGCGACTGCGACTCCTCCGTCTTGTTTTCCTCAAAAAAAGTAATATCTTTCGGGCAAATCTAAGCTCTATGGATTTCATCTTCCATTTCAGATTTTGAATGACGCGTTGATTTTTATCAATCTCCGCATTCTTTATTATAGATGCCAAAGATTCCTGAAACATAAGATGCTGATTTCAAAAACCAATCCAATGATGGGCTGTATCACCTTAAGAGAAATAACAGATAACAGATCTATCTTACACAGGTTTCTCTTGCTCTCTGTCGTTTCAAAAATGTTTCAATGAACATATTTTGCAATAAATGCTACTTTAGTGGAATAAACCATGATCAAACAGCATAAATTACCTTCCTGAAATGAATCTGTTATCTGTTGTTTGTTATCTGTTATCTGTTATTTCTCTTAAGGTGATACAGCCATGATGCTGGTCATGACGACCAATGGCAAGACAGTACTAGTGCAAATTTAAGGTATTGCACCGATAGAAACGCACCATATGCTTCTCAAAAGCTAAAGAGGAACTGATGTTCTCTTGAGACATTTTGATTGCTTATTAACACGGTAGTCTCCTGTAAACAAATTAAACAGAATGTAATAACAGTGTGCAGTTAACCTCAACTGTGTCAGTCACATCATATTGCGCCTGGCAGGTACATAACCAACATAACTGGTCACAATAGTCAGAAGAATTTTCAGTGAAAAATTCATTTGTTTTGTTAAATGTAGACAAAGATTAGGCGGCCAGACGCAAAGATGTGAATGCTGAGAGAATACTTACAACTGGATACGCCTGTGGGCCGGCCACCTGTCTTTGAGTACGATTTCTACAGTTTTGAGCTTCGAGTGTAAATGCAGCGTTACTTAAATTCAACTTAGGTCTCTGAATGTTAAAAATTAACTCGACAATTAAATGGCACTCGGACCTCACACTGAATATGACTCAAAACAGCAAAGAAAAAACAAATATGCAACCGTTCTTTCCACTTGACGTCGGCGTCCTCGGTGGTATGAGAAAATGTCCACTCACCGCAAACCGAGCAGTCGAAAGTATGGGAAACCTCACCAACCTCGCAGTTGCGCCTCCCCCCC